AAATTTCTGTTTGTGGTGTATTGCTGTTTGTGGTGTATTGCTGTTTGTGGTGTATTGCTGTTTGTGGTGTATTACTGTTTGTGGTGTATTGTTGTTTGTGGTGTATTGCTGTTTGTGGTGTATTGCTGTTTTGGTGTATTGCTGGTGATGATATTGCTAGCGATGGTATTGCAGTGGATGATGGAACTGCTGTTTGTGATGTATCGTTGTTTGTAGTGTATTGCTGATGATGGTTACATTGCTACTGGCGATGTCACTGCTGTTATTGAGTGTTATGCTGGTAGTGGTATTGTGCTGCTCAATATTCACCGGTAAATTCTACAAACTTATTTGAAAGCCTGAACATTTCCTTTAAATGGCTTGATTATGTGTGAAACCATATTATAAAGGTCTGCCTACATCGAATTGTAATCAGTTTGTTGCTGTTATTGCCGCTGATGGTGATATTACTATGGTGATGACATTACTATAGTCATATCATTATTTATCCCCTATTTCCATTCTTTTAGAATGATCTAAAAGTTGCACAGTCCTTCCTCCCCGCCCAACTTTAATTTTATGCCACAATAAAACATTAAATGGCATATAACATTTTAAAAAATCATTAAAATCAATACCATTTTGTTGAAAAGTATTCGATCGCATTTTATTATTTCTACTTAGCGTTTACATTATTAAAACGGTTATCACAAAGCGTGAACATTGTTAAACTCAGTATTATTTTTCGGTAATTGAGCCACTTGAGTCATTCGCCTTTAAGAAAAGGTTATCTGGCTGTCGTCTGAAATGTGTGTATATAGATCTGTACAACTTACCTCATTTACTTGCACTTTATTCTTTTATTTGAGAAAGTCAGTTGCGTACATCTTATCATTTGGCAAGGGCCTAACGAAACGAAACAAATCCGCCACCTTTACACAGAGTGTGCACGTAGACCAAACCGTCGCATGATATAAGCTAAACTATTATAAACTGCAATGCGAATCAGAAATTGCAAAGTGTACAGTTGTCTAAAAAATTGCTAAAACCACAGCAATTTGTTTCTTTAATTACAATAAGTGTATTTGAAAGTGCTACATGCTGTAGAGATGTTATTATTTCAAAGAAAATAAAAGAAATCTGTGCATTCAGGATATGAAATATTTTTGGTCTGCACATGCTGCTGTGTGAGCAGTGCAAATAAGCGCCCCAGGGTCTCCAGACAAATAAGTAGTTCTTTGTGATATTTGCCTTCAAAGAAATCGATGTATATATCATAAATGAATTCACGTCACCAATAATGGCATGGACATAGAAAACGTAATATACATCTTAAAAAGTGATATTTCACCAAACATGTGAATAGAATTCCCAGTTGTAAGGGGGAAGTAACTTTAGTTATTCGTTGTGAAGATTTAATTATTTTTTTTATAAATCTGCAATGCAATACCTTTAATATATATAGTGGAAATTGCTGCAACTCTTGACAGACATCCTTAAATAACATTAGGATGGAAGCACATTGCTATGGCAACCCGACTTGTTCAAATGAAACCCAGGTGCGCAATCGTCACACAAAACAAGATGGAGTGGTTACGACCATTTCAATGTAATGTCTATTGTCGACTAAGCAGTGCATTACATTGATGGCAGCGGTGGAATTATTAAGACACATCACCAAGTGCAACAACAGGAAATTAAAACACCTTCCAACTGTTGCTAAGCCTTTAGAACAATACTAAATGTGGTTCAATCACTTATATATTTGAAAATTATCATAGATTTGCACTGTCGAAATTGATGATGCCGCTAACATCTCGTTAGTGGGGGTATCAAGGACTCTGTGCAGTCTCAAGAAACATGTAACGAGAACATTCACGGGATAATGAGTAGGTCGTTGAAAAAGCGATAAATGTATCCGCTGTGCATTCTGGGATACTGAAGTGCAGTAAGATTATTTCTAATGCTATATTTCACTTATCGAATGCCATTGTGTCTGTGTGTTTTGTTGCTATGGGTTTCGGTAACACTAGTTCATGTACTTTCTCATTATTGGGATTTCAGCCAACTTGAAGAACAACATAGCGAAGATTAGGTTGTCAGGTAAAACATCGTTAAGTGCTGAAATTGACATGCTAGGTATCGCCATTAATTAAACCACGAGTTCCAAACAAAAAACCGTGCTGTCCAAAGTTACCAATTAGAGTCCACCTACACAATACACGTTAGACTGTGGAACTAACAACATATACTAGGGGCTTGACGTCTTCATCAATAGATCAAATAAAAACTCGCTGTCGATCGTGAGTTGTTCGTTGGAGGGCACTCCACATGTTTTCATTAAATGAATAAACGTTTTGACAAGTCACTGTTCCCAAGCCTTGCACTTTTCATCGATGTCATTGCACTTATGGAATTGAAGTTTTCTGTTGACGTGATCGTGTGTGCAGTGTTATTCTCTCTACTTGGCGTTTTTGCTTTGCAGGATAAGAAATATACGACTACCAGTTTCAAGGCATACATCACGCGGTTCGACAAATACATAGAAACACACACAGAAGTGTTTATTCTGATATTGTTGAACGTATAAGGATCTTCCCTGGGGTGTATTTAAAAAATCAATGTGAAATAATTTCCAACTTGACCTTAGTGATTTGAGACACCGGGTTGTAATTTCTGATCCGTTTCGGGGTCTCACAGTAATTGTTCTCATTCGTCACGTTGTACTCCAATGTGAATAGCAATTTAATGTTTTTAGTGCCACATTCACCACACAGTACGTGATCTAATTCCATGTGAGTATATATATACAAACGTACTGTACACGTCTTCCTCGCATGCGACCACGTCGACTGTGGCGTTATATATACCATGGACATACAAGTACTAGTACGTCCATGTATATACCCACACCGCAATCATATCTCATTCAACGTCCGTCTGTTTGTTTGTTTGCTGTTTGTTTGTTTGTTTGTTGAGTCGCGTCGCAGCCCTTTGCGCATAGGTTTTGGTCACACATGTCTACATAAACACGCTCATTTATAACTAGTTAAAGCGAGAGGGTCGTCACCTGCGCACGCGCGGGAATTGAGTCCCAAGCGACGATAACAACACAAGCTAAAAACGCAAAGGTTCATGGGTAGAAGCTTGTTTGTAAACAATGACACGCTGTGGCCATCTGACGCATGCGCTCCCCCGCTTTAAATAATCGCTGCACCTGTGTTGCTCATGCGCGTCTGATGCGTGCAATAAAATGCGATATTGTAAATAAGGCAGAACGTCGGCACGGATCGGGGTTATGGTAAATGTTTTCAAGTTAGCCTGTTATATTTCTCGTGCTTCGTTTTGCAAACGCGTTGTATATGCTGCATGGATCCCATGTGGCCCGTATTGACCGAAACGCGCGCGCCCTTGAAATATTTATCCAAATTACTAATACACTAATATATTGTTTTTCACGAAATGCTAATTGCACACGATTCCGTTGAGAAAAAATACGCCAAATAAGTGACGTCACTCAAGCACTGTTACATGAATGGTCTATGTCAAAGGTTATCATTTGATATATACCCCGAATGTTCTATACAGAAGTTGAAGAGTATGTTAAGTAAATGTAAAGCACATGTAACCATGGTTAATGGTCTATGGTATAACGCACTCAAACTGTAACAGAAAACGCCGTCACATACAATTGTATACATTAAACGCACGTAATCACATTGCAAAAGAAGATGTCGTCACATTAAATGACGTAATTATATTGAAACATAGCTTGTCAGCAGCTCACGCCATATATAAGTAATCATATTGTAACACGGGACGTCGTCTCATTAAATGCACAAAATCACATTGCAAAAAAAGACGTCATCACATCAAATGACGTAATCGCATTGACACAGAGCTTTTCATCACATGCAATGTACGTGATAACATCGTAACACGACACGTCATCACATACATAACAATGAATAATATAATTTAATACTTGACTGATCACGGTACTACCTTTAGAAGATTGTGACAACAATTTATTTTAAATACACATTATTCAGCCAATATTTGTTGACAGATTTTTTCGCATATACAAATTTGCCATAAAATGTTGCCTTTCTTCGCATAACACATACAGGGTAGGGAAGGGCTCACTTGACAACATATGTGAATGTAAACCACGTGACCACTCCACCGGCTCTGTTCAGTTGACTGCTAGATGTTTTGAATGTAACACAACCAATTCCCACTGATACTGTACACTAGTAATGTATGTTTGTTTTTTCCGTATTATCTCGTTACATTGAGTGTATTCAGTGTCTACACAGAAATGAAATCGACTCGAGAAAGCATTAAGCACGCGCGTCACGACATACCAATTTGTATACTGCATTGTACTACACTTTAAGTGCTTCACAGATACACGTTGACTTGGAAACAAGGATTCGTCCACAATGAGTGTTTCGTGATGCATGGTGTCTGAGGAAACATGGGTACGAACAATCAACGATCAAGATAACATCACGCATTCGCTATGAACATGCCGGGGCCTATAACTATTTACTATTTTATACGTGATGTTATATATATATAAATACATGCTAAATAGAACATTATAATTGTTTATTTTTTTCTAGTTCTGTTAATGGGTTTGCCCGTTGAACAGTGTCTTGAATAAATAAATAAATAAAATAAATAAATAATTACTGCAATATTACACTTGTGATAAGGGAGTGCCCATTAGAAACATTTTAGAAGAAGATAGATTCGGAAAGAATAATTCTACAATAAAAACTATTAATCAACAAACGTAAACTGCAATCACAATTTACATCAGCCAGAAAAATACCACCACCCCCTCTCCCACTACCACTACTCATAGGTTAAGATTAGAATTGGAGCTATTCGGACGTTTTGGAAAGTATTGTCTTACTTGTATTGCTGCACTGTAAAATATATATTTCACAGTTCAAAAGTTAAAGTTCAAATCAACAATCTCGTTAACAAACTATTTTCTGTTTACATTTCAGCTTCCATCTGCGGAAAATCGTGCTTCCCACCGGAGTTGGTTTTTAAAATAGCATTCTGGTTAGGATATTGCAATAGCTGCCTGAATCCCATTATTTACGCGCTATCGAACAGATCGTTTAAAAGAGCCTTCAAGAGAATCCTCACATGCCAATATGGACGACGGAAGCGCCGCTTGATGTATCGCGACCATTATCTACGAACCTCCGGTAAAAACCTTATTCAATATCAAAACAGTATTAATGGCACAAGGGGCGCCACCAACCGGCGGTTTCGCAAAACTAGTACAAGTGGTTATGAATTGACAGAGATTTCAGTGACCCCAGCCACACCGAGCCCCTCCAGTGAAAATTCACGAAGCATCGAGGGACTAAAAGAGGAACTGAGGCAACATGGTCATTTCGAGAACAGATTTAAGCAGACCAATATGAACATCGTCACGATTACGGGCGATGAAAACTGTAATTCCGAGTCTCAAAAGCTTTTGATGAGTGCTATTCGGGAGGATGACGTCAAATCCCGCGAGTCGCAGGATGATGACCATGTAGTTTCCAATACAGACGTCATAGACGAGATATTTGTAGAGAAAGAAGTAAACCAAACTTCACCTGTAGGTGATCCTTCGTTAGAGTATGAACTTTGTAGTGCATGTAAGACAAAATTCAAGAAAGCTAATGAGCCCTCCGCAGATGGCAACGGCCTTCAGCCAAAAAAAGACAGTTCGTCTAAACCAATACATCTGACTCCGACACGTGGACATGAACGCCCACATTTGGCGATCTGGGAGCGAATGTCATCCCTCGATAGTGAAACGACAGACACGTGTAATGATAGCCTGAGTCTGAATAAATCCAGGGAGAGTGTGTTTTCTTTGCAAATCGTAGAAGAAGGCGATATCCCACTTACCATTTCAAGTCGAGAACCTAGGCGTAGCCCAGTGAGGAGAGAACTGCCACACATCCATGGACAGACAACCCACACTGACGCTGGGGTACAGACGACGGACAGTCTGTTGTCATTGGACTTTTTGAACGAATGCTTACTGAGAAGAAACAAGAACGTGACGCAGTCTTCCCTATCTACCTGCAAATGTGAACAATCTAACTGTGCATTTTCGTCCTACCAAAACCGCAATGTTGTCGAGGAAAAACCACATCAGTCGTTAGTCATAGATCACAACCAAACATCGATGGTTGCTATGAGTCAAAAACTTTCCAAATTACAATAGCGCCACAACCTGCTATGTTATGACCATCCCTTTCAGTTTTGACAGATTCCTATATTAATTAGATTTCTTTTTAAAATTATCTTCCTTTATCCAATCATTCAATGCCACCTATGACGCTGCTTTACCCGTGAAACATTCATGGACACTTTTGTTTCACTGAAACTAATAACTGTGCGTCACAGCCAAATTATATTACCTCATAAGTGTGCCACACTTCTTCCAGTTGAATGCGCACTTTATTGTTTCACATAGCATGCATGGTTGTGGCATTGTTGCTGTCCTTATTTAACAATTCGGATATGATGCCATTTTGTTTAATTTATAAACATATAACTGCCATGTTCGTCATGCCCTAGGACATGTCCCACATTCTCCTGCAGTCACTATTTTCAAGTCCAGGTCTTCGATAGTCTCTAGACATGAATGGCCGCCTAGATCTCATTGAGAGCGAAAGGTCTAATGGGTCAGTTTTTGCCCCAAAAAGTGTTCCATTCCCTCCCGTCACAGACATCCCGTCAAAATACCAAGTTTTTATAAGCCAGATAAACAGTGAACGCGATGGCGAGAGTGAATTAAACACGTTTGAGGGCAAGCCTCGTTGCGTTCTCCCTTTCAACGAGATTTCGGCGACCATTTGCGTCAAGGCCTATTGGATGGCATTTCTGTCCATAGGCCAAAATACGATCGTATATTCCGTCCAGAACCGATAACTAGCGCACGAAGCATATTTTGAAAAGTTATTATATAAATGATAACAATAATGATTCTCAGTGAGTGATGATTGTATAAACACCGTTGCGCGTTAACTGTGCATCGAAGTGTTGCTAATCAACAAAAGGTAGAACCGCCAAAGCTGAAGTGACTGCAAAATGTAGGTAGAACGTAAACTCTAGACATGAACCTGTGATGACAGTACAAACAAACGTTCAAAAAAACCGATATTCTCATCTTTGTTAAGAGAACAATTGAATATACTAGGGGGCGTAATATGTGCCCTGTCATTTACAAGCTATTTGGAGGATCTCCATAGATCGGAAGTCAAAGTGTGAAGTTTACACAAAAGATGGCGACCGTGTATTCACGTTTACGATACAAAACGTACTTAATATACACAATGAAGATTTTGTTAGCATTTACGTGATATTTACAGAGAAGTTTCAGTTTCAAAACATCAGATAGTGATATAATTACCAATTGAAGTAATTATTCAAATTATTGTTATATGCATGGTGTACGTATACATGTGAGTAGATAACAATGCGATCAATTGAAATAGTACGCTGGTTTTATACACGAAACTACTCGACGCTGTTAGTGTGTACGTTCAGTAAACAATATATATATATTCGAACCCATTTTCTTATCCCAAATCCGACGGTGGTATGCTGGTAATTTTACACCGTTGGCGGAGTAAGTAAGCTAAGTTTAACGATGCCAACTATCAGTTCACAAAAAAAGCTTTACATACTACTAGCACGTATTGGAAACAAAATCGATTGCGTTTGTGCGATTTCCTCTTGTTACTGATATTGCTATATTTTCGAAAAATTGGACATGCTTTCATTAATAAATAAACGTTTTTACTGGTTGAATGATGTACGTATTGTTATATTTCTATACAACAGCCGGTATACATGTACACACCTTAATGAGATATAAGCGATTCGGCTCGGAGACATGGCAGCCTAATATTGGAATTCGAAACAGCACATGTATTATAATATTTCAACAGCCTCGCCCTGACTATTTAGAGCGACCCTTCAACGCGAGTTGCAGGTCGCCACATCGGCTTAGGTAAATGCCAGTGAGGTTTGACATTTACGATTAGCAGATTTGTTTACACCTTGGCATTTAGAATGTGTCATTGTATGTTGTCCACGGTGCAGATTATCAAACTGAAGCAATAAAATTGGCTCATTATTTAGTATTAGTTGATCTAAGCGTTTCGTGCATACGTGTGATTATGACTATGAGTGCAAATTGTAATTTTACGAGAGATTCAAACTTTTACTTAAATAACATTAGAAGCAGTTATTACCTTGCCCGTACCATCAAAGATGGAAGGGAAAGGTATATTAAGGGAAAGATTTTGTCCGGCGTTGTCGTCGTCGTCGTCGTCGTCGTCGTAGTTGTCGTCGTCGTTAATAATTGTTATTGTGTGCATGATAACTTTACTAATTCTATTCCAAACTTCATCAAACTTGGTCACCTTGTTCATCAGTATAAAGTCTTCCCTGAGTTTGAACAACAGATGTCCTGTATGAAAATATCATGCAAAAATTGAGAAAAACTGATAAAATATTTCGACTGTTTCTACTTGACTGATCACTGGTGATACACATCAAAGGTCACTGATCTCAGTGGAAATATGCATTGTTGTATGTGTTCAATGAAGCAAATGAGTTATCTTGTAATAATATCCTTGGTAATGTATCTCAGAATCCCTTACTGGGTTTCAAAACCAACTCATGGAGAGATTGCACAGTCTGATACACATTTGCAAACCTACCAATAAATCTTTACAGAAAACAAGATGTCAGAAAATCAATATAAGCACTCCTATGAACTGGGTGCCAAACTTTGATCAAGATCTGAAGCTAATAGAAAATCTGTTTAGTTCAAAGTTATCAAATCAAAAACAATACATAAAAAATACATAAAAAGCAAAACATTTCATCCACATTTTAAAAA